TATATATATATATATATATATATATATATAGACACTGTAATTACATTATCAAAGCATTACTATTAATCTAAAATCTATGTTTGAGTAGGTAAGATTATTATTTAAAGACTACTTACATACTTAGCGATATTAGAATTTTTTTACATAAATGGCAAATTACACGACATTTGGTTTAAATAACCCTTTCTGTGATATCTATGTGTTAGGTATAACTGTTCTAATTTTGAGATGCTGACCAAAAACAGAGTAGCCACTCAGCAGCATCCACCGTCACCAGGGTTATATCCGGCTTTGTGATAAAATAATGGAACTGACTATCACTTTCATAATGTGCACACAACAGAGCGTATTCAGTGACATAGTTCCTCGAATCTTGGACGTGTTAATTTGCAGTCCATTATTGTATCTACTATACCACGCCTGGCTCTTTTCTAGCTGATATATAACTTTACATACTGTTTGTAGGGTTTATCTTTGAATCACTTGAACACAGAGCTACGTCGACTAACAACTAACAGATGTACATTTAAAAAGACCAATATTTACTGAGCTGTGTCAGTTAACAACTACATATGTACAGTAACATAAGGTCAGTATTTACTGAGGTTTGTCAGCTAAGAACTAATGATGCACAGTAACTTCGTGTCAGTATTTACTGAGCTTTGTCAACTAACAACTAATGATGTACATTAAAGTGGCCAATATTTACTGATCAGTGTCAGCTAACAACTACTAATGTACAGTAACATTAGGCCAATATTTACTGAGCTGTGTCAACTAAGAACTACTGATGTACAGTAACATCAGGTCAGTATTTACTGAGCTTTGTTAGCTAACAACTGCTTATATAAATTGAAAAAGGACCATATTTACTGAGATTTGTCAACTAACAACTAATTATGTTCAGTAACATCGGGTCAGAATTTACTGATGAGTGTCAGTTAATAACTAATGATGTACAGTAACATTGGGTCAGTACTTAGCGAACTATATCAGCTAATGTCTATATGAAATAAAAACAGATCTCCGTAATTATATCTTATCCCATGCATATCTTACCTGTATATTTAACATGTATTGTAAACGTATAAATTACGAAAAAGGACAAATACTTCAGATGTTAATAAATTATTTTTCACCATCTCTTCCTCTTTGACTCTTTTTTAATGTATGAACAATCTGGTAGGTTACTGACAGTTGAAGTGTTTTCTTCGACAGTTTAAAAATATTCACAAGTATAATGATTTCGTTAGAAAAATAAGTCGACCTTTTGTCCAGTGTAAAACACAAATATGTTTCGTTCACAACGTTTCACCAGGAATCATCAGGTGAGACACTAAGCATGTTATTCAGGAATTGATAAATTTATAAAGTATTTTTATCAGTGAACTCTGAAATGTAGAAATAACGCTTTAATGGCTGAGCCTAAGTATTGAAATTCGTACCATATACAAGCGAGTAAAGAGCGATTAAACTAGATATAAATGAACACTTTTGTATTTGTTAAGAATAGTTTTTTTATTATTATTTTTTTACTTTTAATGTTATCTTCTCCGCTGAGGATTTTTACTTTAAAATAATCAAAAAAATGATTTTTTTGAGACATGTGTTCAAAAATATAAGATGGAGATTTTTAAATGTTCACACAATCGTCTAGAACGCTGTCTGTTTGTGTCACCAATATAACAACTTTTACAATCTGTACATTTAATTGCTTACACATTTCCTGAAATATCCTTGTTTATATATTTTTTGGATAGCAGTTGACTCCGTTTCTACAAGGTAAAAATGTAAATTGTACTTTAATTTCAATTTTATACACTCTAACTGTTCTTACTATATCTGGTTACACCTGGTGAATAAAATAAACAAAACTGTTACTCTGTACAGCTGATAAATCCTTTCATGAAACTTAAAAAAACAGAATTATTTCTAATATTTTATTTATATTAGTTCAACCTCTGGTAAAACAATAACATTTCACATTGATACATGTATTTTTTACGTACCAGCTAAATAAAAGACATATAGCCTCTTACATATAAATTTTTGCCTTTTCGACATTTTACTCTCTAAAGAAATGCTCTTGATGTAAAGTTTACTCTCTAAAGAAGTGCTCTTAAAGTAAAGTTTTCTCTCTAAATAAGTGCTATTAATGTAAAGTTTACTCCCTAAAGAAGCTCTTAATGTGAAGTTATTCTCTCTAAAGAAGTGCTCTTGATGTAAAGTTTACTCTCTAAATAAGTGCTATTAATGTAAAGTTTACTCCCTAAAGAAGCTCTTAATGTGAAGTTATTCTCTCTAAAGAAGTGCTCTTAAAGTAAAGTTTACTCTCTAAATAAGTGCTATTAATGTAAAGTTTACTCTCTTAAGGAGCTCTTAATGTGAAGTTACTCTCTCTAAAGAAGTGCTCTTAATGTAAATTTTGCTCTCTAAAGAAGTGCTCTTAATGTAAAGTTTACTATATAAAGAAGTGCTTTCTCTCACACCTTACTGAATAATTATCATTTGATCGTAACAGTGAGAAGACACTTCTTTCAAACAAGCAAAAACTGATTTTTGACCTAAGGCAACATGAAAACTTTTCTCTGCTGTGTTAATGAGTTAGTGTCTTTTAATTGAATTAAAGTTTTTTTTTGTGTGTGTGAATTCTAAACTCAATAAATTTAATGATATTTCCTAGGACGAACCACTGAAGATCCAATCTTCAAAAAACATTACCATTAATGCCAGGAATCACGAAGGGATTGTTACAAACAGAATTTTTGTAGGTATGTTAGGATTTTCTTTTTTTCAACAAAATCAGTTTTTTTTTTGTATTACATTAAAATAGGCGCGTTTAACAAATTGTAATGAAATTAAAGTTTGGACTTGAAGCAGAAATAATTAAATAAATGCGCAAGAAATATAGTGCATTAAACTTAGAGTCATTAGTTAATATTCATTACGAAATATGTGCATCTTCCTTTGATACATAATGATATTTTCTTTTATGGAAAAGTAACGAGTCAAATATTTGCAGTCAGCAGAATAGAAGGAGACAGAAAATCAAGCGAATTTCATAACTTTGTTTTGGTACGTTTTTCTCGATTTTTAATTTCCAAATACTGCAAAAACCGCTTCAAATATTCTGCTTTTGAGTATGAAAATAGATGAAATAACATAGTGATAGATCACGTTATGGTTTGAAATATATGTGCATATAGGTAACATTAAACATGATATATACATACATATAATAATGTAACGGAGGAATATAAAACTCTATATTTACATATAGATAATAGCTTAACAGAGAAACATAAAACTTATATATATATATTAAATAGTTTAAAGGAGGAACACAAATCCTTATACATATAAGTAGGACAACAGCAGCTCCAAAGATATCCTCGTTGACGTGACTCACGTAGTGTTAACACGAAATAGGACAACAGCAGCTCCAAGGGTATCCTCGTTGACTTGACTCACGTAGTGTTAAATATGATGTTTTGGTTCAAGCGCTGACATTGGATAGATATAACACTTATTAACGTATGAGCTCCGACATCCAACACACACTAATGTGAGGTATACTTTGAAGGGCACCTTGCTTTGGCCGCATCAATTATGGTAGTTTTCTTCCTTCAGTGTGTTCCGCCTACGTTTTTACACACACACACACATATATATATTGTTGTATTGTATTAGTCCTCTTTTCTGTCTAAATTATATCATTTTTATTGTTTTCAAGGGGATTCTGTTGTAGAAGCCGTATCTGAAGAGTTCACAATTAAAAACACTGAAGGTCAAACCATCTTCCGAGCAGATGTTGATGAGGTCATGGTAGGAACAGAAAACTTCCGATTCAGTGGTGGGTATTAATGTCCTCTGAACTAACTTCTCTCTTCGTTTTGTATTTGATATCACTTACACATTGCAAAAGGCTTCGTAATAATGCTACCATATCCAAAGCACACCACTCTTCCCTGCATGCTTTCAATATCCCATCTAGTGTACGAGGACGACGGTTCCCAGCGCCCGTTTCTACAATACTATCACACAAAAATATATAGGCTACTTGACTCATATCTGTTCATATGGAACAGCATGAATACCCATTTCATTCTCCAGTTTCTTGAGGTATGTGATGGTTGTATAAATATGTCATGTACACGTTACTTATATTGATTTACTTGAGTATGTTGCCTGCTGTTGTGTGAGGCACGTGGCGGATATTTACCCCCGGTTTTCGTGTTGAGGGATTCTCACTTACTATAAGACGTGAGAACTTTGCTTTTACGAATAGGGTACAGTTTGTAGAAAGTCTTTTTCAGGATAGTTATGGTTCCCCAACTTGATCCATATTTCTTTGTTTTTCTATGTCATTAAGTACAAATGACATACGCGTCTTGGAATTGCTCAGTATGAATATTTGGCATCCGAAAGGGCTGTTACATATTATGTTCAAAAGCGATCAGTTTTCGATGGCATCACAAAACGTACGCAACACTAGACACTGTTAAGATATATTTCTGATACATGCCGTTCTGCAGAGACATCATATCCGGTGTGTTTGTTACGTGATTAACTGCTTTGTGTATTCAAAATCATTCTAATATCACGTACTCCATCCTGTAGTTGTTAGGCATTTTTAGTTTTAAAATCATATCTCTTTATTATCATCTTGGCCCGGCATGGCCAGGTGGTTAGTGCGCTCGACTCGCAATCTGAGAGTCGCGGGTTAGATTCCCCGACCCACCAAACATGCTCGTCATTTCACACGTGGGGGCGTTATAATGTGAAGGTCAATCCCATTATTCGTTCGTAAAAGAGTAGCCAAAGAGTTGGCGGTGGGTGGTGATGACTAGCTGCCTTCCGTCTAGTTTTTCACTGCTAAATTAGGGACGGCTAGCGCAGATAGCCCTCGTGTAGCTTTGCGCGAAATTCAAAACAAACAAACATTTATTATCATCTTAACACGTTTTTTATGTTCCGTTAATTCTTAGGATATTCCAATTAAACAACATAAAATCTCCTGATGCAATTATTTTATAATAAATAATATATATATATATATATATATATATTAACTCTTAAGTTATTTTAATGTTATGTTAACAAGTGTGCGTTGTAAGTTGTTTTTTAAACATTCGCTCTTAATGAACCATTCACAAAAGTACTGTTTGTTTGTTTGTTTCAAAAATTAGTGGGAAACTACACAATGGATATCAGTGCTAGCCATCCCTAATTCGTGGGAAGCTACACATATGGATATCAGTGCTAGCCATCCCTAATTCGTGGGAAGCTACACAATGGATATCAGTGCTAGCCATCCCTAATTCGTGGGAAGCTACACAATGGATATCAGTGCTAGCCATCCCTAATTCGTGGGAAGCTACACAATGGACATCAGTGCTAGCCATCCCTAATTCGTGGGAAGCTACACATATGGATATCAGTGCTAGCCATCCCTAATTTGTGCGAAGCTACACAGTGGATATCAGTGCTAGCCATCCCTAATTCTTGGAAAGCTACACAATGGATATCAGTGCTAGCCATCCCTAATTTTGAACTGGTAAACTAGAGGTAAAGTAGCTAGTCAAAAGCACATACCGCCGACTTTTGGGTCACCCTAATCGAATAGTGGAATTCTCATGACTCATCCATGACCCCTAAAGTGCAGCAACAGGACGCGAACCATGGACCATCAGATTCTCTGTCAAGCACTACCTACTAGGCCACGCACGACCATTCAGTAAGGAAGGATAAGTACTACTACTGCCAAGAAATATTTTAAACATCACATGTAAATAAGTTTTATAGACATGCGCACTGATAAACAGTTATATCCAGTTAGATCTCGAATAAACTAAGCCTATTTTTATGTAAATGTTAAATATTGGAAACCACAAAAAAAGAAACATTCAAATAGCCTCCCCCCCC